GAAAGGACTTTTCTTTTATCTGTCTGTTTTATTTAGAGAAGCCCTTGTGTACTACAAACTGAGGGGTAGAACATTATAAACAACTGGAAGCAGGACCTGGAGGGGACTTGAGGGAGCCCCTACCCCCATTTTTATCTTTGTTTGTTGCACTCAACCACCTGCACGGTAGGTCTCTTAAAACTATTGCTTTCTAAGTGTCTCCCTTTAAAAAATGGTTGTGGTTATTTTTCTCTAGCTGTATTAGCTGCATGTGTCTAATTTTAATTTAATCTAATTTCTCTAGGGGTCTGATCCAGCAAAGTGCTAGGTGTCTTATCCTGAGAGGTGCTGACCATTTTCATTTATTTTCTCTATGGAAGACAATCCAGCCATCTCATGGCACTTTCTGTGTTCTGTTTCGAAACCTGCTAGAAGAGCAGGGTGTATATACGAAGCTAGGCTTTGCTCACTGTGTATGGTGGTCATTTGGACCTCACTGTGCCTGTTTGGTTCCTTCATATTATGCTTGTTGTGAAGAGACAAAAACACACAATGCTTTTCAAAGTCTTTGGGGTGATATGCACCACCTTGGGACTGGAAGTATTTGGGGAGCAGCACCTTTAATACCTTGGGCACAGGGGCAGGAATTGTCCCTGACCTCATCCAGGGTATGCAATGTTGGGGAGAGGGACAACAATAAATTTTTTTTCATTGCCAAAATTAACTTGATAGGTTGTTTAATTATTTGTAGCTGTCTTTCATAATGGCTGCCAGCACTCCTGATTGAGTTCTTTGCATTTCTTTATATAATCTTGTGTTGGAGAATTGATGAGACCTTACCTATTGAATCGTTAGTTTTAGTGATATGCTTATGTATTTTATGCAACTGTTTGTTTGATTTTATGTTATCTATAATTTTGCTTGTATATAAAGGGGAAAAAGGAGGGAGAGAGAGAGAGAACCCAATTTAATCTGCCTTCAAATTGATATATTAAAGGAAGAAGGGGAAGTCAAGGAATTATATTCTGTCCTGATGAGATAACAAAACTGTGTAATCGTGGCAGTGTAAAAACAATTAATAAAAAAAAAATGCCCCAACACACTTGTAACAGTGATATAATATATGGAGATATACCTATCTCATAGAACTAGAAGGGACCTTGAAAGTTCATCAAGTCCAGCCCCCTGCCTTCACTAGCAGGACCAATTTTGCCCCAGATCCCTAAGTGGCCCCCTCAAGGATTGAGCTCATAACCCTGGGTTTAGCAGGCCAATGCTCAAACCACTGAGCTATCCCTCCCTTGCACCCACCAGCCTCTGGCCCCAGCTGCCTCCTCCTTCAGCCCCCACATCCAGGGCTTAATGGATCCTGGGACTTGCTGAGAAAGGTGGTATTAACAAACATGCAAGTATCACTTTTCACAGTAGACTTACTAGCTGTCTGTGAAAAGTGATACTTGTATGTTTGTTAATATCACTTATCACTTTTCATAGCCTCCCAGGTAGCTACTAAGTATGCTGTGATATTAACAAATATACAAATATCACTCCTGAAGGGGAAGGCAGCATTATTTTGATTACTGAGTCTGCCAAAAACCCCTACAAATATAAATTACAATGATTTGGATGTGTATATTTCATTTTTTTCCCTAAAGTTAATTAAGTATTTTAGGGAAAAGTGTCAGTGCGGCCACCATTGAGAGTTGGTGGCTGCAGTTTAAGGCCACCAAAAGATTTGTTGTGAGAACCCCTGCCCTAGACACTTATCCATGTATAACCCTTCCATTACATAATTTGGCCCAAATTCCTTATCAACTTTTCTTTCTAATTTTTAGAATAATTATTTTATATTATATCTGCTAACACAACCTAATGCTCTGTTTGGATTTTTTTAGTGCTGCTGGACACTAGGCTGATGGCTTTAATGGGGCACATTCTGAACTCAGTTACATCCAAGGAATCACATTGAATTTGCCAGTGTCAATGAGGGCACAATTCGGCCCACTGATATTTCCACACTTGTCCTCTATTTTTTTTCCTGATCAGTCTCATGGATGGTATTTTCACTTAGCACATAGTCTGGGGGAAAATAAAATCTAAGGACTAATTATGTAACATTTGTTTACACTGAGTCATATTTGCCATCTGCTGGTTCAATCACCTAAACAATCCAAATTCTTAAAATCTGGTTGTTCCTTAGTATTTGCTCTGCTTCCAATCTTATTATTATCTGCAAACATGCACATTTTGGCCCTGATGTTGCAATGAGCACCACACAGACAGACCTCTGAGCCAGTGTGGAACCCCATTGACTTCAAGAGAGCTCAGCACAGATGGAAGAGCCTGCCAGTGCAGAGTTTATTGCAGGGTCAGAGCCTTTGTTTTCAGTACCTTCATACATATCATGTGCCACATTAGCCACTCAGATAGATGCAATCCCATTGCCTAATGGAACTAAAGGCTACATTTGGCCAGCCGTGTAATGGACAACAAGCCTAGATTTAGATGCTGGAATATGGGAGATGGGGGTTACTCCATTTATAATTACTTTCAATGTTGGAACTGGATGACTCAGGTGTTTGGTAATAAGCTCTGCATTTTATTATCTCTACTTCAGATTGATGGTTCAAATGTGACCCAGATCAGTTGTGACTAACTGTAAAGCTTAATTCATGTATTTATTTATACAAAAATAAACTTTAATGGAAACACTGTCCTGAGTAAAGGCTTGCAGAATCAGGTCCTAAAATGTATGTTGTTTATATCAAACAATGGTATGTATTCAGTCAGGAAGGCAAGAACTATAGAGAGTCTCCACACCTAATAATTAGATGCCCTATTAAGTGTTCTGCTACTATTCTGGGGGAAAACATGAGTCATCATTTCACATCCTAAAAAATTTAAAATATGTAAGATTCATTTTCTGGATAGAAACTGGATTGTATTTGTTTAAATATGCTGTGAACAGCTATATTTGCAGCATTATGGGTGGGCTGTGATTCCAAATGGTATATTTTTGCAGTTACTGGAGAGTTAAGCAAAGATATAAACTTAAATTCATTTTTTAAAAGTTCCAATGTAATTAACTAAAACATATGAAATAAAACAGTTATATGAGCTACTATATATGGGGAAAAAACATGGCTTCCTAGAAGAGTAGTATTCCCCACCAAGGACTTAATCCAACTCCTTTTGAGGTCAACGGGTAAATTTCCTTTGACTTTAACAGAAGCTGGATAAGGCCATGAGTACTTAATATGGTCTCCCTCAACATACTAACTTAATCTCTTGCCTACCATGATATGTTATTTTTGGTTGTTAACTAAGGCCTTGACCCTGCAAACACTTGCATGCATAAATTTACTCACGTGAGTTTACTGGATCAGGGCTTAATTTATGACCTGATCCTGCACCCATTGTTAATGGGTGCTTTGCCATTGCCTTCATTGCAGGACTTCTAAGGGGCGTTGTCTTATTTGCCTGTAACACCTGTGTTGCTACAGAAATAAATACTGAAGGTAATCTACTAAATCAGTTGGGGGTGAAAAGGCTATTAATTGGCTTTTCATATATAAACAGTATCAAAGAGTGCATTAGACAAGGATGAGCTAATGATTTGGGCAAGAGAGCAAATTTTCCATGTAACTCATAAAACTCACTGGAGTTGTGGAGAAAAATTACCCTAGCTGCCAAGGCGGGAGAAAAATCATCATCATGGAAGAAGCCTCCCATTAAAAACACTCAGTGTCAGCTCCACTAGCACCAGGACAGTGGAAGATCAAGTCTAAAGGGGCCCCAGTTCCATCAGTGTTCCCCCTCCTTTGACAAACGTCAGACAAACTCAGCCTGCTGACTCAATGAGAGAAATCCTGACCCCAATGAAGTCAGTGGGAGTTTTGCCATTATTTACCCCCCACCCCAATCTGCTGTGTGGCTCATAGCTATAGTGTCTCCCCTCCCCCCCCATGGGCTCATGTCTGAATCCCAGCGACCCCTCTGTCTGGGGTGTCTGGCAGGGAGCTGGATGTTGCCACCCCAACTCATGCGCTCTTTACCGTCGGTCCCATTTGCAATCCTGAGCCCCTTGCTCTCTCCCTCTCCCCACACAAGCGAGGCAGCCCCGCCCCACCACTGGGGGGGTGGGTGATGCTGCCCTCTGCCTCAGCATCACCTCGTCCCCCGCACTCCAAGCTCCAGGACTCACCCAGCTGCAGTTATCCCGAGGCCACAGCAAGAACCACCGCCCCTTCCCCTGACTGAGCTGCATCGGGAACACCTGCTTCTATCACCTCCGGTAGCGGTCACCACACAGAGCCACTGCCTACCGCTGTCTGTGACCCCTCCCCTCCCCTCCTTGCACGCCCAGCGCCTTGTCTTCAGCAGCCGGTAACGGTCCCGCCGCGCGTGGCCCCGCAGTGGAGCGCGAGGAGCTCTTGCTCTTGTTGCTGGGCGGGCCGCGCCAAGCGGCTGAGGGGACACAATCCCCAGCGCATCACTGGTAGCGGTACCAGCAAGGCGAGGCGCTGGGACTGAGGATCCGGGGAGGGGGTGGGACCAAACCCAGCCAGCCACTCAGAGAGAGAGATCTGTGTCTCCCCAGCAACGGGCCTGGCTGGCCAGGGCTGCGCCTCCTCCCTCCATCCCTCCCTGCTGGTCATTATCTCGTCTCTTCCTCCCCCCCACCCCCATAGGCTCGGAGCCCCCCTCACTCACCCTGCAGGCTGGGATTTGGTGTGTGTGTGGGAAGGTCTTTTATTGGCCTAATTTCCTCCCCCTTAGTCCCCCCCCCGCTTTCCTGCCACACTCCACCCAGAATTGAGCTAGTGTAACTAGGAGGTGATTCTCCTGCTCCCTCTTGCTGCTGCTCTGTAGGGGCTGCAGGGGTCTCCTCTCTGCCCAGATTTGAGGCAGGGCTTTTAGGCAAGGAGGAGATTATCTGATCGAGGGAGGGAATTTTTTGAAGGGGTTTAGCTATATCTATAGTATTTTGCGAGGGGGGAGGGAGTGTTTGGTTACTGACCATGGGGAAGGACCAGGAACTGCTGGAAGCTGCTCGCACTGGGAATGTGGCTCTCGTGGAAAAACTCCTGTCGGGGAGGAAAGGAGGGATCCTGGGCAGTGGATCTGGAGCTATTCCCCTATCCAGCTTACTGAGGTAGGGACATGATTCCCCAGCAGCTGCTAGGGATATTAACCTCCTCCTCCTCATCACCATCATCACCTCCCTCATCCTCATGCCTGTATTCTTCATAGTAACCATAAATTGTTCACTCTTGCTAACAACTACAATGTGTCAGTGTTTAAAGTCACAGCCATTCATTATATTAAAATAGTAATTTTGAATTCCCTGCTTTCAATGTGTCAGCAGGGTACTTGTTTCTGATATATTACTAGCATTGGTGCAGAATTTATGCATTTATTGGGTGGATTGCTTTGCACAATGGTGTAGTCACTCTCACGTTTTCTTTAGAATGTTATCTTTTCTTCTTTGAATGCTTTTTAAATATGTGATTCAGTTGTTAATAACAGAGAAGCTATTGTGTGTTTGTAGTTATATAGAAAAAGCCACAACTTACCCCACACTTTCACCCATAGTTATTACTGTCACATTTAGAAGAAATTAACCATACTATGATAATGAGTCTATAAAATGAAGAAAGTGAACCTTTTGATGGGAGGTCATCAACACAGAGTAGGTGTAAAACTTATGGAGCAGGTTAGGTAATAGCAGTGGTACTTTCAAGGTATCTGGATTTAGTGGAGTAAAATTGGGATACTGGTCATATCTAGCTGGAGTCAACTTTAGTCTTTAGTCATATGTCATGCAGTGTGTAACAGGGCTTTTGATGTTAAGTTTCATCATGTTGCAAGTGAGAAGTGCATTATCACAAGCATTTATGACATTTGACATTTTTCAAATAAGAAAAGGTCTGCAGCACACAATCTGCTGCCAGTGCTATACACTACACTAGACACAGCACAGCAAGGTAGAATGAATTGAAACACTATTGACCTAAAACTTGAACTAATCATTAAATGTGCTCTACTGGAAGAAAAGAAGCAGACCCAGATTAATGGAAATTCTTTAAATGAAAGGCAAGAAAGGTTAACTTACTTGAGATTCTATTGCCAGTACATCTCTATTTTCCAGGGCCCAAGCCACTTTATTTATATTACATGTGATATTCTCCATAGTAGGAATTGTAATATTCCTGTCAAATTATACCAATTTAACTCTATTTTAAATTTATTTTAAAATTGTTATGGCAATAAACAACAGTTTAGATACCCACACAGTTTATCAAAGTTCTGTGATGCCATAGTGGCCATAGCACAATTAACTTTTATTTAATTACTACTATGTTGGCCAAAGTTAAAATACATTTGTACAATTACTTTTGGTATTGTAATTGAATAGCCTGCTTAGCAAGAAAAATGTGAGACAATTGGTTGAATTTAAATGATAAGCATCACTTATTAAAATGTGATACATATTTCTTTGTAACAACATCATTTTTACCAGAATGAAGTTCATTTCAGTGCAATGATTATCCATTTATGAACCACTTCAACTGGATATATTTATGTAGTTAATTTTTTTAGAGCTGTCCCCTCTGCACTTCTGTTGCACTGTTACTTTCTTATTGTAAATCACAAGTCCTTTAAATCTCTGCAGGAAAATGTGTTTGCTTGTGTTTTTCTGATTATAGAAAATGGGTATATTAGGTTCATTTACAAAGTGGTTTGTGTAATGTACAAATGGATATAATAGAAAACTGGTTAATGTGTTATGGTAGTAATTGATTATTAGTGACAAAGTAAACATTTCATACTGTATAAAGTCAGAAATGTTCTTTCTCTACAGTAACAACAAGGAGTCTGGTGGCACCTTAAAGACTAACAGATTTATTTGGGCATAAGCTTTCGTGGGTAAAAACCTCACTTCTTCGGATGCATAGAGTGAAAGTTACTTTCTCTACAGTGGGCACCTTGGTTTGTTTTACTGTAATGAAAATAAAACTAGTATATTATTGTGACTATGAAACTTCTAATGTTATGTCTCAAAACAAAGCAATGGATAAGCATTTTAAATCTTTAAAAAACAAATAATTGTAAACAGGAAACTTTAAACAATTTCAGAAATAAAAATACAACATACAACAATTTAAAAAAAATTCTGAAAGAATTAAATAGTGAACTGATAGATACAAGTGCAAATCTATGGACTCAATCCTGCAATCACTTACTACTGGGCGTAGCATTTTCTACAGTGAATAGTACTATGACTGTCACCTGGACTACTCATAGTACACCTCTATCCCGATATAACATGATCCGATATAACACGAATTCGGATATAATCCGGTAAAGCAGTGCTCCGGGGGAGGTGGGGCTGCGCACTCCGATGGATCAAAGCAAGTTCAATATAACGCGGTTTCACCTATAATGAGGTAAGATTTTTTTGGTTCCCGAGGACAGCGTTATATCGAGGTAGAGGTGTAGTAAGTAGAGCTGAGCAAAATTTTTCAACCAAAACTTTTTTTGGTGAGAAATGTAGATTTGGCAACATAAAAACATTTTGCAAATTTGTGTCAGTTTTGCCACAACGTTTTGGTTTAAAAAAACCCAACAAAAACATTATTAAAATTTTTTTATTTCAACTTTTTTTTTAAATGAAATGTTTCAGTTTTTTAATTCTAAATGGCTTTTTGTTTAGATTTTTATTTTAGAAAAAATTAAAGTGTAGAAAACTCTTCAAATCAAAATAAAATATTTCAGGTCAAATGAAATGTTTTGTTTGACACAAAAATAATTTTTTACAACTTTTCAATTTGCCAAAAGTTTCAAAAAAATGCTTCGGGACCCCATCAGGCACTTACCCGCTGGGTTGCCCGGTAGAGCCTGGGGCCCACAAGTAGCAGCTCCGTGGTCCAGCCAGCCCTACTGTCTCCAGGGAAAGCAGAGAACAATTTGAATCAGCTCTGCCATCTAATTGGACTGCAGAGTGAGCATGTGACACCCCATCATCACTCCCTGATTGGAGGGGGAGGGAGTAGTGGAGACACATTAGGAGACACAGAGGGGTGGAGACGTCCCCCTGCAAACATCGCTGCTCGCCCCCTCCATCCCTGCACTACAGCCGGTGGAGCTGAGGCTGTACAAGCAGCCGCCCAGGGACACACTGTGCCCAACACCCCAGCTCAGCTGCCCACCCTCTGCTGGGGGGGGATCCAGCACTTATCTTTCTTATCAGATATAAATAAATGTTAATAGTTAACAGGTTTTTTATGATTTCATTCCCGTTTTCGTTAATATTGTAATAAAAAAATATGACAAATATATTGACTGTACACTTCAAATAGTACTGTACCGACACAAGCCTGCTACGATTTTATTATTAGTAAGCACTAGAGACACAGAAACGTACGGTAGATATGTAAGAAAATGTATAAAAATACTCACGTGTAAATTGCTGTTTTATTGAAACAACAATAATACAATTTGCTTTGTATGTGATCCGTAATCCATAAAGATCGAAGGTATCGAATATGAATAAAAAATTTTAAATACTTATTGCACTATTGTTAACTGCTTTTTACACAATTCAGAAACAATCTAAATTAGATTTCGTACATGTCGCCTATTTATAGTATCGTATTGTAAACAAGTCATTACACGCACATATTCCTGCCGATGCATGCTGGACTTCCCGACAATACGCGACATGCTCGCCTACCAACACTTGCTTGTTAAGCGCTGTTGGCGGACTTGACACCTGATCGGTTATAATTTGTGAATTTATTTGGAAAATAAAGTAATCACTACAATTTTAACTCTATGTTACACAACAGATGAAACATGTACGAATGGTTTTTCAAAATTTTCTTATATTCTCTTCTTTCTTTATGCTTCCACCGCCCCCTTATTTTTATTCAACACCCCCCCAATTGCACCCGAGGCTACTACTGCCCCCCTGGATCGTTCCAGCGCCCCCCAGGGGGCGGTATCGCCCACTTTGGGAACCTCTAATCTAGATTGTTCTCCTTCCCTCCTTCTCTAACAGCTTTTTCCAACTGTCTCCTTCGGTTGGATTCCCAGACCCCTACCCAGCTTGAGCTGCCCTCTCATTGACCATCTCTCTCCCCAGGATATCATTATGTGCTGCTGCATCACAGCTGCCGCAGGTGCCCGTGCCAGGGTTACTACACCTGATCCTTACCTCTCCTCCAGTTCCTGCCTTTTATGCCTCGCTTCCAACCATTAGTTACCAGTCCTAGTTCTGACCTCTAGCTCCGACTTCTGACTCTGGCTTGACCCTTGACTTTGTCGTTTGGTATCTGATCCTGGTTCCAACTCTCAGCTTCGATTCCTGGCTCTGACTCTGGCTTGACCCCTGGCTCTGGTAATCAGCAGTTGACTTCTTTCCCCTTCCTGAATGCCTGCTCTGTCCACTAGACATGACTCCTGCTCTAAGCTACACCACCTATGTCCCATTCTCTAACACTTTGCTTGGACTGCTGTTGCGGAAGGCCCTTCAGAATGGAACCAGTGAGGCTTTCTTCCCAAAGGGAACCTGAAAACACCGAGTTGGTAGCCTGCCTCCAGGCGGACTGCCAGGCAACACAGGCCCATTTTACCCAGTTGATGCAGAGAATCAGGTGGTATACCATGCAGAGAAAGCTGGCCTCTGGACTGCAACTCCTCGTGCAGGGACCTGTGACTCTGTTGCTGGAACGTTTCAATGGGCGTGGCGTGAAGTTCTGTGAGTTTATAAAGCATTGTTGTCTCCAGTTCCTACTTCAGCTGCAAGTGTACTCTTCCGACCAGGCCAAGGTAGGCCTGGTACTCAGCCTGCTAATGGGGGAAGCACTGGATTGGGTATGCCCCCTATTAGAGGGCAACAGCCCAGTACTAACCGGTTGGGATGCCGTATGGCAGGCAATGTCAACAGTCTTCAACAACCTCATTGTGCCTGCATGGCTGAGGATGTCCTCAGGATGCTCTGGCAGGGGCAGGGTACTGCTGCTGCCTATGTGGCTTACTTTTGCCTACTGACATAGGACACAGAGTGGAATGAGGCAACCAGCTATTCCATTTTCGATGGGGTCTGAGTGACAAGGTCAAGGATGTTCTGGCTCCAGTAGAAACTCCAGC